ACTAGATGCTATTATTTATACATCCTCACATATCCTACAATTACTAATTGTATCCCATTTTAATTTTAATTGACACAAGATAGTAAGATTGAATTCTTTTCTTCTGTTTGTAATTTGCATTACTATTGTTAATTTTCCTAGTTTTATTTCTAATTGTAGATTATTCAGTAGCTAGTACTCTATATGCATATTGAGTTTTTCCTGATTGAAATATTTGTACATATTTACATTTCTTGATCCGTTGTTACCATTACTCTTGTTATCAGTGCATCATTTTCACTCTTCAAATTAAAAATATGAGGTATTTTATATCAATAAAAACTTTATTATCTTTGTCATTTTCTTTATCATCTCTCCTCTTGTCTGCATTTAACTCAGTATAATGAACTAAAATATTTATTTTTACATTAGACATTATGAATTTATCCATTTTATGACTGAAATGTTTGTCCTTTGAACAATAGCTCCTCCATTACCCCCAACCCTCTCAGCCACCATACTGTTCTTTGGTTCTGAGAATTAAATATTTTATATATATTTTATATACAATTGAGGTTCTCAGTAGTTTTCCTTATGTATCTTGTATCTTGCTTTTAGAATGGTCATTGTGAATAATGATTCAATGAATATGAGTGCACAGATGGTTTTGGGGCCTAGGAAGGGAGAGGTTGGGTAACATCTGTGGTGCTTATGGATTATTCCTGGCTCTGTGCTCAGGAGTGACCCTTAGAGGTATTTGGAGATCCATATATAGTGCTGAGGATTGAACTGGGGTCAGAAGCATGCAAAGGCAAGCACCTTATTCTCTATACTATGAAATATCTCTTTGAGAACTAATTATATTTCTTTTAGATATAATCATAGACCACTTAACAGTTAGTGATGCGATACATCTCTCTCTCTCTCTCTCTCTCTCTCTCTCTCTCTCTCTCTCTGTTATGGGATCACATCTGGCAATGCTCAGGACTTACTCCTGGCTCCATGTTCAGGATGCTCAGGGACTACTCCTCGAAGGCTCATGGGGCCATATGTACAGCTGGGAATTGAACCCAGGTCAGCCTTGTGTAAGGCAAGTGCCTACCTGATGTGCTATTGCTCCAACCCTAGAGATACATTCCTAAAAAAATGCTTTGTCATAGAATATACTCACACAAACCTGAACAGTACAGTTTGATATACACCTAATCTATATGAAGGGGACTACCAATACTTGCAGTATTTCATTTGCTGAATTTTATTTATGTGACGCATAATTCTACATAAAGAAATTGAATTACTGGACCACATGACATCTCTCTCTCTCTCTCTCTCTCTCTCTCTCTCTCTCTCTCTCTCTCTTACTTTTTAGGTCACACCCAGCAATGCTCAGGGGTTACTCCTGGCTCTGCACTCAGAAATTATTCCTGGTGTTGCTTGGGGGACCATATGGGATGCTGAGGAATCGAACCCGGGTCAGCCGTTTGCAAGGCAAATGCCCTACCCTCTGTGCTATGGCTCCAGCCCCAGATAATTCTCAATTAATTTCAGTAACCATGATACTGGGCTGGAGCGATAGCACAGCAGGTAGGGCATTTGCCTTGCACACAGTTGACCCTGGTTCAACTCCTCAGTTTCTCTCAGAGAGCCTGGCAAGCTACCGAGAGTATCTTGCCCGCATGGCAGAGCCTGGCAAGCTCCCCATGGCGTATTCGATATGCCAAAAACAGTAACAACAAGTCTCACAATGGAGATGTTACTGGTGCCTGCTCGAGCAAATCGATAAACAATGGGAGGACAGTACTACTACAGTGCTAACCATGATACTGTTTCAATAATAACTGTACCAATTTACATTCTGCAATGGTGTAAAGGTTTCCCTGTTCTTCAAAGTTTGCTACTATCACTGGCTATCTCTTGTCATCTTGATGATACCTGTCCTGGTAATTGAGGTAATATTTATTGTTCTTTTAATTTGAATTACCCAAATAATAAGAGCTGATGAGCATAATCTTGTGTACTCGTTAGCCAGCTGTTTGTCTTCTTTGCAGAAATGTTTATTAATGTTATTTTTTACTCCTATTATATTTTGCTATTGAGATATTTCAGTTTTTATGTATTTTATATCTTAACATATTCAGATATGTTGTTTACAAATATTTGCTCTTACTCAAGATTTGGTTTTGATTTTAGTAATTGTTTCCTTTGCTTTTGAATGAATTTCATTTTCTTTGGCCTGGAGTTTCTGGAGAACCAAATATAACAAAAATAGGACATGCTTTCATCTCTGTTCCTTGGACTTTATTAGTAGACACTGCTTCCTATCAGAGGGAGACTGACAACTATCAAGATCCAATTAGGTGTAGGTACCTCCTTCCTTCCTCTCCCCCAATAGTCTTTCTAGGATACTGTCCTAGGTAGAGAAAACAAAGGAAAAGTATTCAAACCATTTTATATCATTATGCTTTTGGGAAAATATGATATTTTTCTGGCTATACTGAGGTTCTACAATAATATCGATGGTGTTAGTAATTATAAGGTCACCTAGTACTGGAAATTATTCCATTGTGTGAACTTTACTTTCATCTCCTATCCCTATACGATGATTTCCCACACAAATTTGTCTTCATCAACGTTCTTTAAGCATCTTGTGTGATACTCTAATTCTCTCATTATTTTTCATGTCTCTCTTATATCCTTTACCTAATATATTTATTTAATTTTTCAACAAAAGCAACTTTTTTGGGTTTTTGTTTGTTTGTTTGTTTTTTGGGTCACACCCGGTGACGCACAGGGACTACTCCTAGCTCATGCACTCAGGAATTACTCCTGGCGGTGCTTGGGGAACCATATGGAATGCTGGGAATTGAACCCAGCTCTGCCACATAAAAGGCAAACGCACTCCCCGTTGTGCTATCGCTCCAGCCCCCAAAAGCAACTTTTAAATTTTATATCTATGCAGTTGCCTGCACTTCTTATTGTTATGACATAGCATAATAATACAATGCAATGTTGGTTGTGTGTGATTAAAAAATCAAATGTAAAGCAATGACTTAAAGTTTACCAATAAGGAACACTCTGTTCTATATCAGACAAAACACGAATTCACCTTACTAACCTATCCCTTTGGTTCCACTAAATGGTTTTAAATCTAAATATTTATTTCAATTTCAATTCATCTTTTGTTTGATCTCTCAAAAAACATATATTGAATGACAACATATGGTTGTCTCTTCCTGTTTCATTTAAGAAAAAAATGGAAGGATTCCATATTTATTTGTAGGGGCATCAAGGCCACAACAGTGGTGTCCAGGAGACCATAAGTTATGTTCCAAGAACCAAACTCAGGGTTTTGCATGCCAGATATGTTTTCCAAGGCCTTTGTGATATATCTCAGCCCCAAAGATTTCATCTTCTTTTTTATGAATAGAGAATGCAATATCCCATTATGTACAAATCCTCTGGAGATGGACATTTTTGTTATTTCTGTTGGCTACTATATATAATTTTATAAGAATGGAATTCATGTTTTTTTACCTAAAATAATCCTCCTTCTTATATCTTTGTTCAACATTTATTACTTTACATTTATCCATTTACACTCATATTTGATTTTTCATCCCTCCACTCCCAATTCTGTTCAATTCTAATGACTTTTCTTCCCATCCTTCTAGTTACTCAATTCCAAGAAGAAATAACAGAAAGAAGCCAAACTTCAGGTCTAGTCATGAGATAATTTTAATAATGACACAGAAGAGAAACAGTAGTATTATTAGTATAGGAGTGTTGTTTCCCATGGACATCGGAGAAAATATTGAAATCAGGAGTAGGTACACTGAATATAAAAATCCTAAAGATTAGGAACTATCTGCATTGTATCTGTATTGATACACTAATAAAGTTAAGTTATGAAAATGCATCACTTGTTGGAACATTTATGAAATATTTTCTAAGTTGGTAGAGAAAAAAGTTTGGAGAAAGTAATCTTGGAAATTCTATAAAGAAATTAATAATGACCTGATTGGAATATAGATTATTATTATTTCAAAACCATTATTGTATGTGGAAGTGACATAAGAGAAAAAGATGTGTCAAGGATGGAGATAAACATTGCTCTTGTGATGTTAAAGTAGATCATAAATGGATTAATGTACCTTTAGTTTGCTGGTCTTTTCTACCTGTAGATTTTACTGGTCCCCTAGGAGCATATGGGAATCTTGTATGGTAGTTAAAAAAAAGAAACTGGGGCTGGAGCGATAGCATAGCGGGAAGGGCATTTGCCTTACATGCAGCCAACCCGGGTTCGATTTCCAGCATCCCATCTGGCCCCCTTCCCGAGCACTGCCAGGAATAATTCCTGAGCCAGGAGTAACCCCTGTGCATCGCCAGGTGTGACCCAAAAAGCAAAACAAACAAACAAAAACTAACATTCTTAAAAATGAAATGCAAACAGTAGAATGGAATCATCTTGACACTGGTTTCATTATTTAACAGTGTTAAATACTTGACATACAAGGAATCTCACATTCCAGCCAGAATAGAAATATGAAGTAGGGATACTCTTACATACATAGACTGAGATATTAATTAAGTAGTCCCCTTCAATATGATATTGCTGCCCAGATATACTGGGCTTCCAGAATTCATTGCTATTAAGAAAAACAATCAGAAGGGGAAGAAAAAAAGTTGCAGGGCACTGCATTGGGACCTGACATATGTTTATCTCGAAAGCACTTACATGTGAGAAAGATATGTAATGTACAATAATAATTTATTTCACAATATTTTACTTTGCTAAGTTGTATTAGTATGATATTTTCTTCTATTTTCCTTTGCCAGTACCCTTGAACAGTATCTGGTTCATAAAATTAATTCCAAACATATTGGTTGCAGTAAAAAAAAAAGAATTGAGTTACAGATTTCTTGCAGAAAAAAAAATAGAGATTCAGGATCCTGAGATTACTGTCTTAAAGGGAAATTTTCCTGAATCCAGAAAAGTCAACAAGAAATAATGTTACCACTTCTCAGGTCTGTGACTGTCTCCCCACAAGAACCCGCCACAGAGCACCCTGAACATCAGGGTTCCTAAGGCTATAGATAAAAGGATTCAACATGGGGTTGATAACTGTATTGAAAATTCCAACCCCTTTATCTTTGTCTGAAGCCTCCTCAGAACCCAGACGCATGTAGTTGAAGATACCAGTCCCATAAAAGAGAAGAACTACAGTGAGATGGGAGCCACATGTAGAGAAAGCCTTCTTCCTGCCCTCCACCGAGCGAATGCGTAGAACTGCAGTTGCCACATGGATATAGGAGATAATGATAAGCAACACAGGTATACCTGCCATCAGGAAACCCATACCAAAAAGAATCAGCTCATTGAGTTGAGTGCTGGAACATGAGAGCTGGAAGAGCTGTGGGAGGTCACAATAGAAGTGATTAACCTTGTTGGGACCACAGAAGTCCAGAGTACTTAGGGCGATCGTGTGAGTCAGGGCATTGGAGAAGGCGAATACCCAGGACACAGCCACCAGTATCACCTGGATCGTCTTGCTCATGCGAGTGCTATAAGTGAGGGGTTGGCAGATGGCCAGGAATCGGTCATAGGCCATGGCTGTCAACAGGAAGCAGTCCATCCCAGCCAGGAGGTGAAAGAAGAACAGTTGTGAGAGGCAGGATTCATAGGGAATTGTACGCCTGTGAGACAGGAGATGAACCAACATTGCAGGAACTGTGACAGTGATACATCCAACATCCAACACTGATAGGTTCCCCAAAAAGAAGTACATGGGACTATGGAGTTTGGAATCTAGCACAACGGCTGCCAGGATGCTGAGGTTGCCTCCAACAGTGACCAGGTAGGCAAAGAAGAAGATTGCAAAGAGCAGATTCTGCAGCTTTTCTGTTTCCACCAGGCCCAGTAAAATGAATTCAGTAACAGCTGTTCTGTTGGTTCCACCAGTTGGATCCATGAGTCCTTGTAAGAAAATGTTTCATGAAGGAAAATGTAAGTGTACACAATTTGTTGAAAGTAGTGCTATAAACCAACTATGTTCAAAGTGCCAGGCTAAGTTCCCAGATGTCCAGGTGATGACTTTTCCACTATAGGCCTCCCACTATTTCCTTCCTCACCTCAGTGCCTTTATTATACTCCCAACAGGCATGTTAAGACCTCTCCTTCATTGTTGTTTTATCTTATTCTAACAAAAAGTGTAAGAAATAAAAATAAATACCCACTTCTGCTTTTAGTGAGAAAGCAAGATTAATCTGAAAAGTACACATTTTATCTAAGGAAAGTTCAAACTAGTCAGTAGATTTCAAACATCCCTGATGAACATTAAATATTCCTGATAGACATTGCTGCAAATATTCTGAACAAAATCCAGTGAACTGAATCCAGCAACATACAAAAGAATGAATAACTGAATCACCCCAGGAATGCAAACCTAATTCAATATGCTCAAATCAGTTATTGTAAAATGTGGTGTTCATCCCAGGGATGCAAGCTAATTAAATATGCTCAAATCAGTTATTGTAAAACACCGTATTAATAAAAGACATGATAAAAATCATATGGTCATATCTACTGATTATCACCTGATACAGAGAAGGTGTTTAGCAATATCCAACATCTATTCATAAGTTTTTTTTTACTCCCCCCCCCAAATGAAGGCAGCTTCAAGATAATAATGATCGTCTACTGTGAGCCTATAGTCAATATCATACTTAATGGTGAAAAACTGAAAGCCTTTCCCCTAAGGCCAGGCACAAAGCAAGGATGTCCACTGTCACCACTTTTATTCAACAGAGTTTTGGATGTCCTTGCCACAGCAATTAAAGAAGAAAAAGATATCAAAGGGATCCAAATTGGAAGTGAAGAAATCAAATGACTGAACTCCACAACTGAAACTAATTAAGCTGCCCTGCCACCAAATCATTACAGTTTCACAGCTCCTGAATCTCCAATTTCATAGTACTGTCAGCCCAGTAGGTTTATAACAAATTTGATGGGAAAGTTTCCTATACCACCAATCTCAGTGAGCAAAAACAATAACACAGAAGACTCAAGCAGCATCAGCCAGATGAGTAAATCCTCAACCATTGTGAGATGTAGCAATGATTCCAAATTGACTTTTATTGATCCTTATTTTGATAATTTTATTTGTTGTTGTGTTGTAACAAACAATATGAAGTAAATTTGTGCTGCTAAGGGGATAAGCTGGGGTGGTTAGTGGGAAACCGGGGACATTGGTGGAGGAAAGGTCACAGTGGTGATGGTATTGGTGTTGGAACATTTAACGTCTGAAAGAACTTTATTATGAACAACTTGGTAAATTATGTTGTTATCATAAAAAAGGTAAATCTAAATATAATCTAAGCACACCTAATGGAACTAGAATAATCAAAACAAATTAAATCAAAGCCATTAAAAGGAAGAGGATAATGAAAACCAGAGAAGAAATACACAAAATAATGACCTAAAGGACAATATACTTTGTGGAGAAAGAATAAGTAACACAGAGAGAAACAGAGAGAACCCTTTTAAAATAGTAGCATAAATGCAGGGAAGAAATTACAACAATTGCCACAGAAATACAAAGATTCACAACTGACTCCAAAGAACTTTATGCCACTCAATCTGAGAATCTAGGGAAATGGACAAAATTTAAATAACAAAACCTTCAAAGATTTAATCATAAATAAACAGAAAACCTGAGCAAGCCAATTTCAAGCAAAGCAATTGAAGCAGTAGTCTGAATTCTCCCCCACAAACAAAAATCCAGTTCATATTGTTTCAAAATTTACCAAACCTTCAAATAATTACCTGGTATATCTATCCTTCTCAAGATATTCCAGAAAATTGAAGAATAGGAGTTTGACCAATTTCTATAAGGACAGCATATTCTGATAATGCCAAAAACAGTCATAGACATCACAAAAATAGAAAAGCATAGATTAATATAGAGTACTTTCTTGTCGTTTCCTCAAGTTAAAACAAGTCCCTTCTTATTTTATTGTTACTGATAATATCATAGGTAATAAGGGCAAATTAAGATGTAAGTACATACCAATAATGATATGGAAATGTAGTATGTCTTACAAGTGGTCAATATTTTCATGTGTAATTCCTAATTGGATTATTGAAATCACATAAGAAACTTTATGATAAACTATAAATACACAGATATTTTACTAAGTTTTCTGGCTCTGTTTAATTAAAACTTAAGCAAATAAAATCAAGAGGGCACCTGAATGTGGGTGTTGTGTTAAGATATCCCCAGGTGGTTTCAATGTCCAATCAGGACATGGCATCTCTAAAATGTTTGCAACATGGAAATTTGATAATGACTTATTGGTTTTGTCTTCATTGTTTTTCTCTATATACCAACGCTGCGAAGTTATTTGGACCTTCTCCTTTCACAGAGACCCTTCTAACATAATCCCATAACCAAGGAAATAATAATAGACTTACCCACATTTTCAAGTACGTGAAAGTGTTTACTTATATACAACAATATAGTAAAAAACAATTTTCACAATTTGAGGATATAAATAACCAATATCCCAAGTGAGGTCTCTCTTCTAGCTATTGGAAACTTTCAGAGGGGATGCCATAAGGTAATGCAAGAGGTACTGATGTCTAAGGTCCTTAAAATTATTATATTATATGATTTGTGACATAGGAGGATAATATAAAACCTAACTGCAACTGCAATCTTTATACTGATATTTATTTTCATTAAAAAATCCAAACAATGGGCAGGAAAGATAGTATAGCAGGCAAGACACTTGCCATGCATGTGGCTAACCTGGCTTTAACCCCCAGAACCTGTATCATCCCCCAAGTGCCACTAGGAGTGATCCCCAGTGCTGAAGCTTGAAAGCCCTGAACACAGCTGAGCATGACTCCGAAGCAAAATAAGTCAAACCCAAATAATAAAATTGTTAGGAAAAGTATATCTTACATATAACTAAATTTCAGCCAAAGAAACAGGAACAACAGAACTATTGCAATAACCCTCAGATGGTTAATAAATGAAGCTCATTTGAAATTAGTAGGATTCTGGAATGGTCTCTGATATTCAAACATATCCAGCACAACATTACGATGATCTCTATCACTAGGACTCAAAATGCCTTAACACTCTAGGGTGCCATAATGAACCCTATTCCTTACTGAGAGATAAGGGCTCTGTTCTCCAGAACCCCATTCAATAATTCCATGTTCCTCACAATACAACAGCCTAACAAGGCTCCTGGCTGAGGTCAAGGCTCCAGGCTACCTGATGAAATGTGTCCTGAGCAGTGAAATGAACTTGGTGAATCCCCTCATAGTCATATGTAAAAATAGTAAAAAGAGAAACCTTTATAGAGGTGCCATGGACAAAAAAAAATCATAAAAGGAACCAGGGTCTCAGAATTATCACTCCAGATATTTCCCTAAGAAATATTCTTTTTCAAGGGCTGGAGCAATAGCACAGCGGGTAGGGTGTTTGCCTTGCATGTGGCCAACCCGGGTTCAGTTCCCAGCAACCCATATGGTCCCCTGAGCACCGCCAGGAGTGATTCCTGAGTGCAGAGCCAGGAGTAGTCCCTGTGTGTCACTGGGTATGTCCCCAAAAAACAATAAAAGAAAAGAAAAGAAAAGAAAAGAAAAGAAAAGAAAAGAAAGAAAAAAGAAAAGAAATCTTCTTTTTCAGATATACTCAGCTATAGTAGGCATAAAGTCACTTTTAGTTAATAGAATATCCATTTCCACTTTGTAAGAATAGAGAAAGAACCTGTAAAGTACTCACCCTGGAATGGGCCTAGAAGACAGTAGGGTTTCTTCAGGGTAAAAGACACAGAGCTGTGCAGTATGGTTAACCAATAAGAAAGTAAACAAGGGAAGATTAAACAAGGGACTCTATGGAAGACAAAGGAAAACAAGTCAGTCTATTTTCTACCATAGGACTCTCCTCACTACAGTATTATACCCTGGGAGCCCTGGTAGTCTCAGAAATTATTCCTTCAAGGAAAGAAAAGCCTGGGACGGGAGAATTTTTTGTAACAAATCAATTTCTTCATAAATATAGTGGCAATACTGCACACATTCTTGTGTTTGAGCCTTGTTTTTAAAAATCCCTTATCACTATCTCTGGTTTTCTGTCAGGTAATTAGGACAAGTGATAACAATTCTACAGAATAGTGCTTTTGCTAAGGACTAGCCCATATCCTCAAAGTCACCCATGAGGTCAGATATCTACAGGCTAGATATGCTTCCTAATAGAAGGGGCTTATTTCCTAGATTTCATCTCTAAGCAGTGCCTTTGAGTAGAGAAAATATAATTTCCAAACTTTCCTTGCACCTTAATATGAGGAGAAGATCCTAAGGGAGGCGAGGGGAAGAGCGTCCTCCAACCCGTTCTCCTAATGAGTCAGTAGAAACATGGAGCTTTCTCCTCCAGGACTTAGTTAGTATAGCTAGATGTGTCTTGGGATCCTATAATGAATTTGGGGTAGCTGTAGAAGATGTATTATGCCAGAAAGACTTATGTAATCTGCCTAATAATATGATTATCTCTATGGACTGGGGTTTTAGAAATTTAGAGTCTTTATAAAGGTCACAGACCAATAAACAAAATACAGAAGTATTGACTCTTCGAGCACCAAATAAAGGGTGTTGTGAAGACCCTCCCAAGGTGGGAGAGACATGCTAAAAGTAGTCTATAGACCAAACATGATTGCCACTCAATGCCTCTCTGGCAAAACACAGTACCCAAAAGAAGAGAGAGAGAACAAGGGGGAATGCCCTGCCACAGCGGCAGGGTGGGACAGTGGGGGGGGGGGGGGATGGGGGGTGGGAGGGATGCTAAGACCCGTGGTGGGGGAGGATGGGCACTGGTGGAGGGATGGGTACTTGATCATTGTATAACTGAAACCCAAGCACAAAAATTTATAAGTCTATAAGTGTACTTCATGGTGTTTCACTAATTAAAAAAAT